ACCTGAGCCGGGACGGCAGCAGTAACTAGATATGGATATAAAGGTGACATGAGAGGACTTCACCCACACACACACACTTCCCCATATCACGCTGCATTCGCTCGCTGGGCTCACCTACCTGGTCATCCGTTCCAGCAATTTCGCTGAGTCTCTTCCCCAGACACCTCTCGGAGTCTGCACCTGCCTTGCCTCGCGCTCTCCCCCCGCTGCCTTCAGATGCTTGACCAAGTACGCCAACAACCCGGGATGCTCTGAACCGATACTTCTCCGCCTTCGACTCCTGTTTCCTCGTAGCTTGGATGCGACAAAATCTCACCTCGTCTTGCAGTTCTATCATCGGTTTGACAGCCACGACCTTAATCCAACGCTCCCCGGAGCACTTCTTGCAATCCTCTGATCACGCGGGATCGTCGCCTGCGGCGAGTAGTATATTGACCCACGCTTGCAAGCACGGCGGTCTTAGAGAAGCTGTGTCGCCGTCGCTCTCCCTTGAGCTTCTGAACGTCGGCGTGATACTTCACTATGGCGGCCTTGGCGGCCGCGGCTGCGGCCTGCGTCGTCGAAGGAAGGAACGTGCAACAACTACTCCGCAGATGTCCCGCACGCTTGCGACGCTCGTGAGGGAACGTTTCGTGAGTATGATTACGATCTAGCTCAAAACGTCGCCCCCGCCCTTCCATGCCTTCGCCTTCGCTCCCTCCGAAGGCATCGCTGTCTTCGCCGACGGCTCCACGACCTCGGCTTGAGACGAATCTACTATCCACGCGGGTCGTTTGTCCATGGCTGCAGTAGGGGCCCGACCACAAGAAACCTGCCACAACCCTGAGACCCCAGGAAGTCCACTGACTTTTGGCATGGGAACCCCACGCTTTCCATGGCAGAGCCATCGAAGTCCAAGAAACCCAGGGCACCCTGGATCTGGGGCGGCCAAGAGGGAGGCGTCCAAGAGGGGGGGGCGCAAATCACGGCCCGGCGGCATCTGCGCGGCCCCGGGGGGGGGGGGGGCAGGGACAGAATGAAACAAGAGGAGGCGCCACGAAAGCTGAGGAAATATCATGAATCATGGCCCACGCCATGATAACCCCCCCCCCTAGTCATCACCCCCCTCTTGACCGCCCCTGGCTGAAGGCAAGCAGGGTGTGTTCTTGGTACGGGCCTCCGCTGTACACCTCTGTGCCGAAGCCACGGGGGAGGACGGGGCTCTGGGCAACGGTCAAAGGTGCCTTCGCACACGGACCTGCAGAGCCTCCAAGCTTCGACCGCAGAGTACACACGGGGCACTGATGTGATGGAGGCGTCGGCGTCGGAAGAGCATGGCGAACAGTTACGCCACTACGTACCTGCACAGCCTCCAAGCTTCGACCGTAGAGTACACACAAAGGACACTGATGTGATGGCGGCATCGGCGTCGGAAGAGCAGGGCGAACAGTTACGTCATTACGGTAATGGCATTTGTTTTATCTATGTGGGCGCCGAGCGGGCTCGGCGGTTTCATGCAAAAACTCTCCAATCAGCGCACGGCGAGCCCCGCCGCGCGGCGTGCGCGGGCGGCCGCCGACCCCGCGGCTCTCTCGCGCCCGCGGGCCGCCGCAGCAACTGCGAAGCCGCGGGCGCAGAGGACGCCCTCGAGCCCTGGGCAGACCTGCCGCGGCTCTTCGGCCTCCGCCCGCGGGGCCGCCGCGACCAGGCGCCGCGGCGCCGCGGCGCACGGCGGCGCTGCCGCCTGGCCCCCATCGTCAGCCGCAGGTGGCGGGGGCGGGGCGGCCGCAGGCTGCCGCTGCGATGGCACGGGCGCCGCCGCGAGCGCCTGCTCCTCCGCCCCGTGGCCCAGCTTGGCCTGGAGTGCCGTCGCCCAGCACAGGCGCGTGCTCTCCATCGGCGGGGCCAGCGGCGCGAACGGATCCTTGGACGCAGGCAGGGTGCCCCGTGCGAAGTCCGTCCGCGCCTGAGCTCGGGAGCCCCTCAGGGACGTGGGCTGCCCAGCCGCCGCGCTGGCCCCACACGTCATGGCCAGGCCGCGATGCGCGCACCTGGGGAGGCGGCAGTACCCCCAGCACGCTGAGCAGACCAGGGGGGGCTCGGAGCCGTTGCCCTCGACGCGCGACCCCCGTATGAGGTGGCCGTAGACCCTCAATCCCGCTGGACGGGCCGCATCAGCCGCCACCTCAGGGGCTGGGCCGCTGCAAGCCGCCGCTGCCGCCGCCCGCCGCTGGCTGGGCGCGGGCGCCGAGGCCTCGCGGCGCCTCGGCTGCTCCTGCATCCTGCGCTGGGGTGGAATCCAGGGTCTGGAATCTAGTGGAGCCCCAATCGTGTATTGATTATGGATATCACCGCCGCCCTCATCCGATAAAGAACCATCCAGGGTTTGAAGCCGCCTGGGCACGTTCCTTACTGAACGCCCCCACCGCACACACAATGGGCACTGATGTGATGGCGGCATCAACGTCGGACGAACATGGCGTCTCGAGCAAGCGAGTCCCCAAGGCGACGTCGACAGATGGCCTCATACGCAGACGTAGAGAGACACATGCAGCATTGATGCAGCATTCCCAAGGAATTCGATACCGCCTGAAGTCCATGCCTACCAAACTTATGGGTATGTACAGCCCGCCTATCCATTAGACTGGCCCATATTATGCACCGTTCGCTTCGCATATCTTGCGCTGCTACTTAGACTCCACCTCACTCACACTTAGCTTTAGCCCAGGCTCAGAACCAAGACGATGCCAAAGAGGTGCAGAAACAGCCAGAGATCTGCTCCTAAGACGTCGAACGTCGATGCGAGTGAACATGCCGCCCCCCCGATCGAGACAGCTCCAGGAGCTTCCCTCTCAGACAGGCTGGAAGATCATGGCCCTCATCGCGCTCTCCCACGGCCTCCACACCCTCCCAGGACATGCGGACCCCGGGGTGCGCCTCAGCGCCGAGCCGACCATCTGAGCGGAAGGGGCAGTAAGACCAAACCATGGCAAACAGTGCGACGAGAAGTTGCCGGTGAAACTGTGAGCGCCGCGCGAGCTCTTGCAATACTCTCGGGCGCCGAGTGCGAGCTTCCAGCTCGGGACATGCTCAGCGTTCGGGTTGAAAGCGTCGCCTCGAATCGCACGTCGAACAAACTGTGCAACCTGACTGGCCAGCCGTCGATACTCAGCGCTAGACAGTACAATCTGCTTCTACCACTGCAAGTCCTGCATTGTACACCTCACTCTTTAAACGCAAAACAAAAGATAACGTCGCAATCGATACGGAATCTCAGGCAGGTGCCAACGTCCCCTAGAGCTTAAAACAAGGCTGCGTTGCACTCCATCTCGCCTGTTGTTCAACAGCGTAGTGGTGAGGAAGCGCACTAACTTGAAAGCTCAAGACTTTGATCACCTGAGCAGAGGAGGAATGCAAGGAGGAGGAGGGACGGCGAGGAGGAGGGAACCGAGGGGTAAGAGGAAGGAAGGGGAGCTCGAGGATGAAGAGGAAAGAGAGAAGAAGAGGAACACGAGGAGCAGGAGGGGACCCAGAAGAGAACAAGGGCGGCCACGAGCAAGAGACGAGAAGAGAAAAACGTCCGCCAATCGTCCCGAAGAGAGGCGGCGAGCGCTGGCCTGCGTCGGATCAGCTGGAGGAGCAGGAGGAGGGGGGGGGAGCCCCCCCGCCCCCGTCTCTCTCTTCCGCCGCCTGCCGCAGGGTGCCGACCCCACGTTCGGGCCTCGTGCTGTCCGCCTATTCGCGGCCCTTGAGACCCATGGCAGCGCCTGGCGGCGCGCTGCCCATCGCTGATTCGGCTATGACTGTGGCCTCTCGGCGACCAAGCTCGCCAATCTGTTTCGACGCTCGGTCGTGCACGTTGCACTTCCCTCTGCTGTCATCTTGCGTGGCTGCTCCCTGGTCGGCGGAGCCTGCCAGGCCGCTGGTGGCCAGCTACCGCGCAGCCTCAGCTGGAGCGCTGCTTGCTGGCAGTCTGGGTCGCTCTGGATTCGTTTCGCTCCTTCCTGCCCCCCCCCCCCTGGTCCGTGCGAGAGACAGTGGGGCCTTCCTGCCTCCCTCGCTTTCAACATGGTTGCAGGTCTCGGTGGGTTCGCCACCGTTTCTCGGGCGCCAGCTTCCCTGGACAACTGGTTCCTGATGCGGTAGAGCGCGTTTCTCTATTTTCGGCGATCATGGGCATTACAGGGGGGGTGGGGGGGCCCGGGGGGGGTAGAATGTAACGCCTCCTCCCCGCCGTGTGCCCGATGCGCACGGCGGCGGTGCCCGGAGCGCACAGGGGGGGAGGGGCGTCACGTCATGGGGGAGGGGAGGGGGGGGCCGGGGGCTCTGATACCCATTATGCCACAAGCAGTAAAGAAACACGCTCGTATTGTCCGGGTTCGGAGAAGTGGCGCTTCGTTGCCCAGGCTCCACGGGGGGCGGAGGAGGTGCTGGCAGGCCGCCCCGCAGAGTCGCAGCCGAGGGGAGTGGAGCAGGCCCCGCGCCGCCGAGCCTCTCATCGCACACACACACACACACACACACACACACACACACACACACACACACACACACACGCGCGATCACCCACAATCACACAGAAACATGTAGACACACAGACGCAGAGACACACACACACACACACCCTCACATGCACACAACCACACATACACACACGCCCCCCCCCTCCCCACCAGGCACACATACACATACACACAACCACACACGTACACACAAACACAACACAACACAACACAGCACAGCACAGCACATCACAACACAAGTCAACGCAACATAGCACACAAACACACAACACACAACATGCACAACAAAGCACACAGCACACAGAACACAACATTCACACACACACACACACCACACACACACACTCTCCACACACACACACACACACGCACACACACCCATCAAGCCTCCATCCCTCCCTCCTCCTTCTCCTCCTCCTCGCCTCCCTCAGGTAGACGAGGACGAGGAGGATGAACAGGAAATGAGCGACGATGATGGGGCAAGCACGGGAGCGGCAC